CAGCAGTTGATGATGGACATTGCTTGACCAGAAAATGAAGGGCAGAAATAGCACCTACCCTGAACAAAAAAACAAGCAAAACATATATGAGTAAATTTTACTCATGACATTGTTCAATTCAGAGTGAGCATGTTTCAAGGAAGTATTTTCAGTTTAGTCTGGTTTGCCCACTTCCAGTTAATGCATGTGCTTTAAAATATGGGTAGCAACTGTAAATTAGTGCTGTGCATTCCTGAAGTGATTTGTTCAGCTTCTTGGAAGTTTTAATGGAAGATGATCAATACTACTTGGTTACGTTTTTTAGACAAAATTCCACTGATTTATTTTTATTTTTTTAAATTTGATTTGTATTTCCAGTGAAATCTCTATCCTGTTCTGTAATCATGTAGCAGTAATTAAAATACAAACCCTGCAAGTCATCATATTAAATACCTACAAATCTAGCTGTTCATTGTCACTCTTGTAATCAAAATGTGGTCAGCCAAAAAGATTCAATAATTGATTGTCCAGGAAAACTAGTGCTTACTGTATTCACTTTACAGAAAAGCAGCTTTAATATATACAGATCATATTCTGTGTTCATATTCATTATGTTACTAAAAAATTGAGCCCAGGTGTCTCTGTTAGTGACTCACTTCAAAGCAAATTCTTTAAAAAGGTCTGTAATAATTTTTAAAATGTCTAAGTGATAATGTTATTAAATAATACTTCCTTTGGCATATTTGAAGCTAGTTAGGATCTTTTTGGACCAAAAAAAATAAAAAGGGGAGTTTATTCGGGAAAATTTAGCTGAAGTTCTTTCTTTGTTTCCTTTGCTATTAGTGAGAATGTTTGTGTTGTAATAGCATCCCGTAATGAAAGCCAATGAGAAAAAGCAGGTGGGGGAAGTTTGAAAGTTTTTACTTCTTCAGATTCCTTGTGAAAAAGTTAATGGAGAAGCCACTCTAGGAGAGTCTGGAGGCACCAGAGTTCTATATGAGGATAATTTCATCTGTAATGTGAAGGCTGCGCATTTACAGACATGTTTGTGTATCTTTTTGACACAGTGGCTGCCCAAAGTCAAGTCATTTAAGAACACGTTAGAAAATTGGGCATTGTATGCCAGCTGAGTCATGCTATCATTTAATATTTAGCCTAAAAGTGTCTTCCCTTGTGTCACTGTTGCTGATATACTTCTAGACCTAATTTTTCATTTCTTGTAAGGTGGCATGAGCCTCTCTATCCCCATGCAGGTATCTTTTGTAGGCTGGTTAGATGAAACTTTTCATTTAAGGAGGATAAAATTAGGCTTTGACACTTTGTTCTAAAAGTTTAACTTAACTTTTCTAGCTCCTATAGGGCAATTCTGAAAATGCTGATTCTGGCAGGCAACAGCCCTTCAATCTGCCAGAGACTGGGGGGTTCAGGTGGGATCCAGCTAAACCAGGTAGCCATATGCAAGAGATGGAATCCCATGGTGTCCTTTTCAGCATTTGTCTTTTTACTTTTCCAGCCTTTATTCCTTCCCTGTCTCATCTTTGTCGTCTTGAGATCCGGTCCATTTTAAGGAGTGAACGCCTGCGATCGGACCGGTTTATCCGGGAATTGCCATTGCCAGCTTGTCTCCAGGACTACCTTCTCTACTTAGATGTCCTGCGAGTCAACGCTCTGCCAGAAGCCGAGGATTATCTGGGGCAGAGAGAGGAGGGAGCTCCCTCTGCCTGCCACTCAAGCGCTGAAGATAAAGAGAGGAGGGACGCCGGTAACAGCGGTGCGAGGTGACTGTGCTGCCAGTGACTGACCTTTAGGGCTGCAGGTTTTGGAGTGGTGATTAGCAGACACAGGGGAAGAAACACTGTAAATAACTGTAGTAGTAAGTATTTTCATGCTGTAGTTTTACACTGTGAGTTCATTGAAATAAGAAATCTCATAGAACTTCTAAGTCTGTTGTAGCTTTCTGAGTCTGTGAACACTTCCTGGTTTTTGAAGGGAAATCTTTAGCTCTTACAGAGTAAAATCAGCATGTTCAATGAACATGGCTTATATACTGGTCAAAACCTATTTGGTCAGACCCTGTTAATAGATGCTTTATTCTAAGTACTGCATATACCAAAAAAAATTATCTGAAAGTCAAGGAACACAATATTGTATTATTTTTATGAGTTTATGTGCTGGGGAGTGTTCCAGCTGAACCAAAGATAGGAAAATAATACAAGGAAGGAAATTGTTTGCTGAAGGAAGAGTGATTTTCTTATTTTTTTCCTTGGTCATCTGTATTTGATGGATTATCAGAATGGGAGGCTGGCTCAGAGCCTGCACCCAGTCCTTCCCCTTGCATAGCCCATGGGCAAGGCATGAAATGTCCCACAGGCACACTGACACAGCACTGCTGTACAAATATCCTCCCTTCAGTGAAGTGAAAAACCAACTGCTGTCCCCATCAGGTGGGTGACAGGGCCAGGGCAGGGACACCTGAGTGGAAGACAGCTGCATCCCTGGCACTGGGAACACCCTCATCCTGCAGAGGTGAAGCCAGTGCCACTGGGCTCACTGGTAGTAGTTGCTGAAGGCGTGGAGGATGTACAGGAAGGTCGTGATGAAGGCGAAGAACTGCACGAGAGGAAGAAGAGCAAAAGCTGGAGTCAGCTGTGAGAGTCTAACCTTGGTGCTCTTGACCTAGGAAAGCCTCCAAGCCTAGAGCTCTCTCCAGCTTTGAAGAAGCAAAGCCCCTCATGTTTCTTCCCCAGAAGCCAGCCACATAGGGCCAGCCATGAGCTGCTGACCCCCGAGAAGCCCACACTGGCTGCATGACACAACAGAGACAAGAAGCTGAATCTCTGACCAGTGTAACACTGCTGGACTTGGGATGGCTCTGGTGTGGCTTTAGTATTTGCTCCTGAGGGGAACTACAGGTGCTGTGCCCTGCCTGGGGTTTTGTGGAGCAACTCACCGATGCAGCACTGTTGAGCTGGTAGTAAAGGGGTGAGTTGAGTTCGGACTCAGAGCGGATGGTTGCATTGGCTTGCAAGACAGCAGCACTCATGTATAGAATGGCCGTGGCACCATGGTACAAACTGTCCTGCAGAAGAACAAGAAAGTGGTGGGGATCAAAGCCTGCCTGGGACTGTCCTCAGATTCACCCTGAGGACGAGGTCCATCCTTCACACATCTGAGTCCTTGAATGGGACATACGCCCAGACAAGGGCTGGGACCAAGCCCCTGTACTCTGCCAGACCCTCCCCTGTGCTCACACAGCACCCACAGCATAGCACAGATTCCCTTGGCACTTCCTGTTAAGGCAAAGTGAGGACAGGGCCAGTTGTTTGCAGAAGAGCTGACCACTGGCCAGCTAACCCATCACTAGCCATGGTGGTCTTGTGCCACACTGCTGCTGCCAACATCTGTCAGTGTCCCAGCCCCTCCTTACCAGCACTTTCCAGTTCTCACTGTTTTTGTGAAAGCCGAAGATGTAGCTTAAGAGGAGCAGCAGGGAGATGAGGCAGGAGCTGAGGGACACGTACATCACCCATCCCTGCAGCAGCGGGAAGGAGACAGAGGTAGCAGCAACAAGGATCCACACCCACATCCCACAGACCTGCCAGGGACAAACACAGGCACCTCCACTAAACACAGGATGGGTAAAGCCCCTTCTCCTCCCTGAGTCCCTGCTTCCCTCCCTCCCAGGCCAGCCCCAGAAGCTACGGGAAGCCCTGCGTCTTTGGGCAGTGAGGACCATCCTCCTGGAGCATCCAGGCACCAGAGCAGCACTGCAAGCTGGCATAAGTTTTCCTGAATGCTCTTTGAAATTCTTACAAAAGGGAAATGCTTGCTGCCGTGTTCAATGGAAAGAAACATCTTGCTCCACAGGCTTTGGTGGAGAAGCCAAAAAATGTCCTTTTTTCTCGGAAAGGCAAATGGCTGTGTCAGCCCAGCCCTGCCCACTTGTTAATCTGGGCTTAAAATCATGGCATGAGGAAGTCTCCTCCTGACACCTCGCACCAGCCCAGAGGGAGTTGCTCACTTGGGATCCACCTAAAAGATTTACTGTGCATGAAGAGCACGCGGGGTTATCTGCATCAGCTCCTGCCGCCCTGTGGTGCTCCAGAGGGAGGAACTCCTGCAGGTTGCCGGTGGGGAGCTGAGCCCTCTGGCAAAGCCCAGACACGGCGATTGCTCCCGTGGCGTGGGCCGCCAGCGCTGTGTCATGGACCAAAGTACACCAGCAGTTATCTCAGCCAGTCCCACCAGGTGCCCTCTGGACCCAGAAGGAATTGAAAGATTCGTGGAAGGTCACAGCTTGCAAGACACCCAATTGCTTAAAAGCCCTCAGAAAGACTTAATACAGAGAAATAAATTCCTTTGATTTTCAAGCAATTTTTATGCGATAACTAGAGCTGCTTCTGCCCCAAAGGCGCTGGCAGCTCTTCAGCCTCTTCCAGCCCTATGGTAGGGGGTGACCCTTGCACAGGCTCTGGGATGGAGCTGGAGTATGTCCTGTCCTCAGGCTGTTCCAAAAAACATGCTACCGCAAAAACCACCTATTTGAATTTAGGATAAGCTAAGAGAAAAGGCATTGTTTCCCAGTACAGCTGCCTTCAGGATCATCTGGGGGGCTGCTCCCAGATCTTTGGAGGCATTCTGGAGTGCTGTCACACAGCAAAGCTCAGCATACTCACTATCTCCGGCAACATGAAGGCGTAGGGGATGGTTTTGAAGACGGCGAGTCCGGAGGGCAGGGTAGGTTGCGAGGAGGCTGCAGGGGGGGACACCGAGGCCATCTCTCCTCAGCTGACACCACGACTGCTCTGTCTCGGCTCCGCTCGCATTTGCCTGCGCTGCACTGCTCCCGTGCGGGGTTTTACCTGACACACCCGCAAGGACGTAATCAGGGAAACCAGCCCAGGCTGGCACTGCACCGCTTCCTCTGGCTGCAGGAGCCCTGGGCAGCCCTCCCACCAGGCATTGCCACGGGCTTCACCCTGCTGCCAGGACTTGGGATGGGAGATAATGGGACCCCAGCCCTTCCATCAGCACACAAATCACTTCATGGTCTGTAATGAGTGGGGAAAGCAAAAAACCAGAACAACCCACACCACACTGGGGTAGAAATGTTTCCTACAATTAATTTTTGTCCTTGGCATGCTTTCAAGCCTGAAGTATTTTTGTTTCCATTACTGTTGACTCCTCCCCTTTCTGTTCAGGTTTCTACTCTGTGTTCACATAAGACTCCCCACACCCACTGGGCACATCCAGCCTTCAAACGCTTAAAGCCAAACACTTTCTAGAGACGTTTTTTGAATGCATAGGTAAAAGACAGGAGGGTTTGCCCATGTTCTCCTGAGTGCCCAGAAAGGTCTGAAGGACAGCTGCCGGGACATCTTTGATTTCTGCCTCCCAGCAGATGTAGCTTGGATTCAATGAGCACATGCTGTTTTTTCCAGAAGACTCTCCCTCACCCTATAGCTCGATGATAACTGGTGGAATGAAAAGCTGAAGGGGACATCTCTGCTTGTGGCCTGCTGAGGTCATCTGGTCCTCTGGAACGCAGGCAATACTTGTCAACTGGAGAAGGATGATGCCCTGGTAAGGAATCATCTCTCTCTGTTAGGAGAGCCAACTGATATCCTAGAAATGTGTCTTCTTTGCCAAGTTCTTGTGCAATACAGAGCAACAATCAAATCCATGATATTTCTCATTGCCAGGACCCTCCCCTAGGCTAGGGGAAAGTGCTTTGTGTCATTTCTGAAAGCTCATTTACAAATGCTGTCAGCAGGAGCTGGCGTCAGGCTCCACGCACTGTGCCATGATCTTTGAAAGATCTTGTTTTATAGCATTTTAAACCAGATAAAAACTAGTGCCTGACTCAGACTTAAATCCCCATGTGACTCAGTGTCCTCCTACCTCATCAGTCGTGGTGGCAATGTACCCATCAATATGCAGAAAGCATCCAGATACTCCAGCAGAAATGATAAATCAGATGAATTGCTTCCTGCTGGGAGCAGGCAGCATATACAGCCTGTGGTTACAAACTGGTCAGGGAAAAGAAGCCTTTAACATCCTGGTACACCAGAGGAATTACCCCACAGCTCATTAGCCTGAAAGTCAGCACTGAGGGAGCTACTCTACGTGTGGCCATGCACAGGGGAACCAGCATGCCCTGAATCCTCACCCATGTATATTTGTATTAGGTGGGTCAAGCACATTCCTATGAATAACCAAACCTTTTCCTGAGTGGGAAAGAAAAACAGTAAAACAGTCTAAATACAGAGCAACTGCTAGCCACTGTTTGGACAAGAGATGTTTTTTTTCCCTAACCTGGCTGACCTTGCTCAGCAGCATTCTTAAAGATCATTGCTGTTTTCCTTGCCTGTTAGCAGCCTACTGGGGTACTGTGACAAAGAGTCTTTTATTCACCCTGATTAAAACAAAACTGGAAATTCATCGGAAGCTGCAGGAGAGAAGTGCTGCCTGAGCTTTTGCTCAGCTTAGGCAAAATATATCATTTGACATGGCTACAACAGACAACCACAGCCTTGTCTAACATTGCAAAAGGAGAAATTTAAAATACGATTTCCATTAGTTAAACTGAGAAAATAATTTTAGTCTCTCAAAATGTGAAATATGTTAAAATATTCATTACAATTCAGATAGTACACGGTTTCTTTTTTGTAAGAGTTTATTTATATTGCTACCCCATTCTTTACATAGTCTGAATTGTTCTGTAATCCATTCATATTTCAGGATTGTTTTTCCTCACTTCTCCTAAGAAATCGTAAGCCAGCTCTGCAATATCAAAGGCTTTGTGAGTGTTTTCTGATGACAGCAGATACTGAAGCGCACCATCATTCTCTTGGCTCTCTTTCAAAAAGTTAGCAATCACCTTCCAGCGAGATGCTTCTGACTCTTCCTCAGCCCACCTGTACTCAGGGAGGAGGGTGGACTGGAGGAGAGGGAAGACGGAGTCGTGGTACACCAGGACAAACAGAGATTTCAGAAATTCTTGATCTCTCTGCAGAGAAGAGTATTTGAAAATATTTCAGTGCAAATAGATGGTGTTGCCAAGCACTTCTACAGAAGTATTGTACACAGGGAAAAAAAACAGACTAGAGAAGAGTCAACTAACCCTGACTTTCTAGGATAAAGATCTGATCTTCCTAAGCAAACATCAGTTAGCTCAGAGGAGCTTTAAACTCACCACCAGAACTACACTATATAAACTATAGATCAAGAAATTTGTTTTCCAACCCATATACTTTTCCAGATCATGAAGTGCAGCTTGTGCAGCCAAACCCACCAGCATTACCACAAAGCGGTAAGGTACAATGGTCACGGAGATCCCTTGGTCATGGGATATTTATATTCCTTCCTAAAAACACTGGTGTGTGACAGCTGCTCCCCACAGCCTCTGCAAGCACAGCCTGAGACCTTTTGCCACAGCTGCCAGGGAAGTGCCACATCCTGCCCATCTTGGAAGCCCAAACTCCACTGGTTTCTCTGCTGCCCCTGGCCGAGAGTTGCAACAATCCCACGCTCCTCACAGCACGTGGCTCTTAGCAGGAGGTAAGGCCACACTGTAAGTACTGTTATTTCACACAGGACAGGACATTTTGTGTGTAGTGAGAATTATGCCCTCCCCTGTAAAGACCAGTTTAAAAGCCAGAGACGAAGAATCAGCCTGGTCAATTATCAAACACTGAAAGATCCTTACTTCTTTAACTAGACAAGGCTTGTGTGCCTCATGCTCCACACACACTGGAAAATTCCTTCATGCGAGGACACACAGAATACTGCCTCCTGAAAAACTCACTGATCCCTGGGACTCTTCCAGAAACATGACCACTGTGATTGGCATGGAACAGTTCACACCTCAGCAGGAGATTCAGCAGCTAAGTGTCATGTAACCAAGCAAGAAGGAGTAAAAATCGCCAGGCAACAATCCTACCATGGGAGTGGCACATGACAAATCAGGTAAAACTGGCTGGTTCTGGGATACTGAGGAGTTACTAATTCTTTGAGCAGATCAGCTTTCCTTTTGGATGAATGGCCTTCAAAAAGTGTTTCTGACTCAAGAGC